CTCGAGGAACCGATCCTCGAGTGCTCGAGGAACGGATTGTGCCGAGCTATTTCGTAATAAGAAATAACGCGCGCGCGTGCGCCCTGTAAACCCTTATCGCCGATTCCATTTGGAGGAGGATTACGGCGTGAGAGAGGAGGAAGAGGAGAAGGTTTATTCTATCAGATCGATCGAGATTGAGACTCCTCGTAGGAATCACATACAGACACAAACAATGCGTTGTGTCTGTCTGTACACGCGTGTATCACGGCGGTCGGTCTGTGTAACCCTGTAATCACGTCAATCTTCCGCTCGACGTAAAGCTCCGCAAAGTCGTATTATCTCGCAAAGACTTACGAAACTATCGACCGTCCTGATTTTTCGCTTGTGACGAACCCCGCGAGAAGATAAGATTAACTGAAAGAGAGAGAGAGAGAGAGAAGAGCGCGCAAGCTCGGCGCGGATTTCGAGAAGTTTCGCGCTGGAAAAGTCGAGAAAACGATTTTACGATTTTCGTGGCGTTACGTCAGACCAGCCGTTATCTCGGCGCGATATCATTATCGGCAAAACAGGCAGCGGTGCATTATCGTCCAATTTCCTCGCCCCTTCTCACTCTTTCCCTCGTGTGTGTACTCTCTCTCTCTCTCTCTCTCTCTCTCTATATATATATATATATATATATATAGTAGTCTCGTGAGAAGCGAGAGGAACACGGCTCTCGCGGCCATTGTCCCCGATCGGGTAGCATTCGAGAGATACAGGCAGGCGCAGGCAAGGTAGGCAAGCAAGGCAGGTAAGCAAGCAGGTAGGTATGTGACTCGGAGGAAAAAGGAAACGACCGACCAGATGGAACCCGGGCGCACTCGTGCAAGGCGCGCGCGATTCGCAACAAGGAATAAAGAAAACTAGGCGCACCTGTTGCCGCGCCGCTCTAACACGAGTCGCGGCGCCATACTCTCTCTCTCTCTCTCTCTCTCTCTCTCTCTTTCCCTCTCTCTCTCGCCCATTCGTTCGCTCGCGCCGGATTTTAAAAAGAACGAAACGCGCGCGCGAGCGGCGCAAATTAGCCGCGAAATTAGTCCGATGTGGTGGAAAGAGAAAAACTATTTCCGCGTGGCTGCATGCAAATGCGACAACGTTTAATTACGTTTCAATTTCGCGATTACGTCGCGTTGTTGTTATTACAGCGCAACTTGACGCACTTCACGAGGAAGCGGAAGCTTGAGAGATTTTGCACTTGGATTTTCTCTCTCTCTCTCTCTCTTTCTGTCTCTTGTTTTTCCTTCGCTCTTGGTTTTCGTGTTACGTCGCGCCGCTGGATCACGATGAGGGCAGTCCCCGGCGAAATTACGCGGAACGTGGAAGAGATGTCTCAATCGTGAAAGGAAAGAGACATCGCAACGACTTTTACGCAAGATCCAGTCACGCACGCGGCGTGATTGTTCGTGTTTCCTCTCTCGAGGCGAGTTTCAGGTGTACGGAGTGAATCGGATTAGAGCTCCGGAAATCTGAGAGACAGCTACCTGAAATCCCCCGGACAAACTACAATAGTTCGGCATCAAATTAATTGCCGCTCGGCGCTTTCGCGAAAGATTGTCATTAATTCATCACAGGTCGCTAATTTGTCAATTACGACGATATCGAGGGTGCTAACGCGATAGGATTGTAAGTGTGAAATGTTTTGACACAATCAGAAGGAAGAGTTCTACACGGAGAAAAAGTGCTAGGTTTCGAATAAACAATTAATACCATACTCCAATACTCCAATACTTCTTGGCAAATTGGATCACTTGGATTAAACAATTAATTTGATCCAAATAAAATATACATGTACTTTATTCACATAAAATTTACTTAATCCTTTTATTTAAGGTAAACATTTACTAAAGAATATTAGAACAATTATTTACTTGAGTCTAGCATTTTTTTCTGTATATCGGCGCGAAATATGTCATTAAAATTCGTACAAATTGATCGTTGTTTAACAACTTATAAACCGTCAGACCTCTGTTACCTCGTGTTACCGCCGAATTTCCGCCCGAATTCCCGGCCGAATTTTTTCTTTTTCACGTTCCAGAATTCGTATTTCAAGTTAGCGAGTCGCACGATTAGTGGTGCGTGAAGTCAACGTTATGCACAAATAAAATGCGAAATTCGCATAGTGCCAATCTCACAGGCGACCACGTAATCGGGCGGTCGTGCCGCCGGCACGTTAGATGTCAGAGGCAGTGGACGACCTTTCGAGGGCGCGATGCTCCGCCCCCGCCGGATAATTCGAGAAACAATGGCAGCCAACTACACGCACCGGCATGACGCACAACGTGCCGCAGCGCCGACCGGCTTCCGCGAGAGTATCGCACTTTGCGCAACGAATTATTCGGCATCGCGAGCCTCTACAATGTACGTCGTATCTCACCCAATGCGATTCGTAGACGATTATGATTTCTGCCGTTCGAAAATAATCGGGAGTCAGTTCCGCGAACGCCAGTGTTACTCAATGGATATTCGAAGTATACATACTCGAGTATGCTTCTTTTAGTTTCTAATCTTGATTGCTCGTGAACAGATGTGTGTAAATGTAAAATTTTAATTGCGGTTGCCCGAGTTGAAATTTTTCATTCTATTTAGTTCCACATCAAGCTCTCATAAGGTCTTCTGATGTGCTTCGTTGATACTACAAATGGGAAGTTACTTTCGTTTTCTCCACCGGAAGACTTAATGTAGAATTAAGTAAACTTAATGTAATACTAAAATTTCACGAATACACCTATGTGTATTTTTTTAACTACAAAATCGCATCGTTTCGCGCAGTATATGTTCTGAATTAAATGTCGCAAGTATTTGATTTAAAGATTTACAAAAAATGTTTAAAAACTTTCTTTAGCAGCAAGCAATTTATCTCGAATATTCCTCGAACATTTGAATGAAAAAAAATTGTATTATCTCTTGAATCATCTCCTTATATGTCTCTTTCTATCAATGTTTATCTTTGTTTCACTTTAAATTCAACTTTCATCGCAACTCTCCTTCGAAGAAATTTCCTCGAATTCGCGGAAATATCGGAGATAATATAAAATATAGAACGAGTAACGGAAAATAGAAATTCTTTAACAACTCGATATGTCGACGAATTTTTCGCGATTAGTCATTGTTCTTAATAGGACCGAAGGAAATATATATGACACGAAATGCTCAGGAAAATATAAATAATAATGCCGGGTCGTTATATTTAACTGCTTGCTTAAGACCGAGAGATTGTAGTCAATGATACGGATATTCATGAATACACAAGTCTTCATTATCTACAAATGCCAATTCTTCGATAAAAACATAGCGGACTTGTTGACTTCAGCAATTTTATTCTATGGTTTAGATATTTCACGTGTATCAAGTATTTCAAGTTTTCGAGTTAAGAACTCGCGGAAAGGTGAATTCCAACGTCACACTGGTTTCTCGAGAGAAACGGGTGCTCTTTTTTTTCTTTGTACGCGTATACGCGAATGTTCACTTCACTTTTCAGAAAAATGCATACACAAACGGAAAGAAAATTAGTACCCACAGCTCAATACTAACTTTCACGAGTAATAACTACCTGTCCATATAATATTGAAGTTTAATTTAGCTAATTTTTGTTGTCCCTGTATCTACACTGAGAAGAAGTAATTGAAATTGTTTCTTGTGACATTTTCTTCGATATGTATTGGTTAGAAAACAATTTGTGATGATAGAATATGTATTTTTCTGAAACATACCTAAGTTTTCTTATTAATCTGATTGATTTATTTAACAGGAATAAAATGTTATTTCGCCATATTTAAACAAACCTTTCTTTCTGTGAAGTAAACCTTATATTTCATAAATAAATTTTTAAGTCTTTCTTCTCGGTGTGTGCACGAATTATATGGTTTTCAATTAAACGATAAATTTATAAGATCGCGAAAAAGCTCAGCGATATCCAGTGCAATCTGTATTACTTAACAGATCTCAAAATAGATATCACACACCGCTAATCATTTTTTATCAGAGATTACACTCTCGTGTGGAGAGACATGTTCAGGCCTAAGCAAAACACCACGATAATTCGCGGCGACGGACGAGAATTGCCGAAACAGTATCATGCGAGACATCGTGAGAAATTCGTGACCGAATACTCGAACCGAAAATACTCGAAATCAAAAGCGCGATAATCAATGACAAAGTTGTTAACAATTCGCGATCAAACAGATGATTTTGACGTGGAATACTTTTCGAAATTGCGACGCGCCCCTTTCGCAAGCCCCCGTGTCTCGACGAGCGCGAGTCGATCGCGATTTTTTCGCTCTCCGCGTGTCGTCGCTGTTTCCGATGAAATTTCCGACGCGTTTCTCGCAAGTTCGTTCTGTGGTCGCGGTAGTGGTTGCGACACTTTTATAACAGAGAAATCATTCGTTCGAGCGTAAAGATGACAAACACTTTCCGCTCATTTTCTCGTATCTCGTATCTCACGGGCATAATGAATCACAATTCTTGAACCGAACAGAATACATTGATCCGACGGCGGATTAAGGCGATTCTAAAGAATCATCTCTATTTCCCTTTTTTTTTATTTTCAAATCGACGCATTAAATTGTACAAAAAAATCGATCGAAAGTCGATCTCATTAAGTTAGATAATAACTGCGCTCGCCTTTTGCGCTCGCCTAACGACAGAGAATGACGTAGTCCGTAATTATATGAGTTGTGCGCTCGAACAATTTGAATAATCGATATCATTTTCTCGTCGTTATGGCTTTCCGTAAAAGAATCAGTCATTCTTATATATCAGATCGCGCGACATTATGCCTGTCATTGCCGCAAGTGGCGACATGTAGAAGTAACAATCTCGCTTGCGTCAAATACTAACGCGCGATCCGTCGCGGCTTTTTTGTTTACATCCCACGTCAATACGACACGATGGGGCCAGAGTGCAAAGTTTTGAAAAACTCGCTAATCATGGTACTTAATCGCATGTGCTCGCTCGCTCGCTCGCTCTCTCGCTTTGCTTGTCACGGACGCACCTCGATCTTCCCGCGATATAAAAAGCCGATGATTCCGTCGACTCTGCCGTCGCGTTCTCATCGATTTACCGTTTCGACATTTCGAGACTCGGGACATTTCGTTAGACAATTCGATTCTCGCCTATGATTATCTCCTGTTTGCTTCAAAATCAACCTCCAAATCATCCCGAGAGAGTTGCCAAGATTTTTATGGCGCTTCCTGTTAGCGAAATTCCCATCGACAGAATCGGATTGGCATGTAAGCTCAAGGATTATGTTGAGCAAACTATAAAGCCGAAGGTACGTACGAGAAGCCGCCCGTCGGATTTCGTCGTAAGTAAATGAAAATTTAACTTCTATCACCTCTCGACGAATAACGAAGAACCACTTGTTTCATTCGCGTCGCAATTCGTCTCGCGACTCGTGCGACAGTTTGGGGACGCGATTCAAAGTTCAATCGAGAATTCGAATGATCCGCGCTCGGTGAAAATTCCGCCGTGAACGTTGCCGCGGTTCTCCGCGGCGCACCTTCGCGTGTGCCAGCCGAACACGCACCTATCTTCAGGCCTATTCGGCCCAATTGCACTCTCTGCACTCCGTTCTTTTCCCGTGTCTTCCCGTGATGCCCGGATACGTCCGGAGAATGCCGAATTTAAATGCACGCAGAATTTCGGAAGATCGACGATCGTCACGTAAACGACGGTCTTTTAATTCAATAAAAATCGCAGGTACATCGATCCACGCGCCGGCCGATCTTCCGGGCCGGCGGCAGGTGTTTTGCTCGCGTCGCGAGCTTTTGGAGCGCGCTTGCTCCGACGATCGAGCATCGCTGAATCACGGATGCTTGATCGCTACATTGTCGTAACGCACGAGCGATATGGCGAAAAGGTGAATCCCGAGTCGAGAATCAACTCGTCCGTGGCGAACCACTTCCGCCTCTCCCTTCTCCTCCCTCTCTCTCTTTCTCTCGCTCGAGCTTTTTCGCTCTCTCTCGTTCACTCGCTCGCTCTCTCTCTCTCTCTCTCTTTTCCATCTTCTTACCTTATTCTGCAGTACATCGATGAGTACATAGACGAGTAACGTGATCTCCTCCTCATCGGAGCCGAGCGCGTTCCCCTGGAGGCCAGCGGTCGCCACGTAAAGGACGACCAGGTGAGTCGATGAGCCTCCTCCTCCTCCTGCTGTCGCTCCTGCTCCTCCTGCCGTCCTTATTCCCGTCGTCTGCATCGTTCCCGTGCGAGTTCTCACGAGTTCCCACGAATCGAGTCTCCTCCTTCCCCTGCTAACGACGTGATTTCACACCTTGTGAACTACTCGGCGCGACGAACGTCTTCCGCGGGGTACGACGATGGCACTCTCACACTCACGGTAACGTCTCGCCGCGTCCGGCGTCGAGAATTTGTAGACGAACGAAGGACCGACCGATCTTCCAGGTGTCTCTCTCCCTTTCTCTTTCTCGCTCTTTTTCTCCCCCGTTGGCGTCACTGGTTATTCACCGATTATCCGCGAAGCGCGACATGCTTCCTACTGCTCACGGCGATCGGGCCACGAAGCGGGTTTGAGGTTATGAATCGACGGCGATCTCCAACCGAGATAACGACACCTTCGCGAACACGCGAGCGACCGCTCCGCGAAACCGGAGTCCGCGGACAGGATCGATTCCCGGTCTCGAGACTGGTCGCGTTCTCTCCTCGTTTCTCTTCCTCTTTCTTTCTCCGTCTCTCTCTCTCTCTCTTCCCCTCTGTCTCTTTTTACTCGTCGGTTGGACGTTCGCTCACGGTCGGACAGAGCGCCGTCGAACGTCGCAAGGTGTTTCGTGCAGCACTGGCCGTGCGTCCCCCCGGCCGAGCGTCGCGAAGCGAACACGTCGTCGTTGCCTCACCTGGCGACTGCGCGTCGACGTTGCCCCTCTCCCGTTGGCTAGTCCTTGCTTGCACGGCGTCTTATGGGGGATAAAGTAGGGGAAGAGAAAGAGAGAGAGAGAGAGAGAGGACAGGTAGGGAAGGGGGGAGAGAAAGAGAGAGAGAAGGAAACGCGGTTGCGGAATGGTTCTTGTTCGTTAAATGGCAAAAACAAATTAATATCTAGCGGGATTTCGGTCCACGTTAATGACGAGTTGGCCGCAGGTTGCGTTAGACGAAGATATCAGGAAGCAACATTTCAAGGGTTGAGTGTAGGGAGCAGAAGGAAACGGGAGAGAGAGAAAATGAGAGACAGAGGAGGGAGAAAGAGAGAGAGAGAGGAGGGAGTACTTGTTGCGCGCCATGTGAAGGTCTTGTCGGGCGAATAGCAAAAAAAAGTAAAAAGAAAAAAGATAATAAATATCGAGCGGGATTTGAATTCACGTCAATAACATGTTAGATATATGCAGAGATATTAAATATTCAGGAGTTACGTAGCGTGAGCGGAAGGAGAGGGAGAACGAAAAAGCAATACCTGTTGCGCGCCATGGAGCAATTTTTGCTGAGAAAGCGGCAAAAACGGATTGACGTCTAGCAGTGGAATTTCAATTTTCGCATAATGGCGATACAATTTCGATGAAAAAGCACGTAGAAGGTATATAAAAGTAAAGACAAAAAATCACTCTGTAATAGCAGCTATCGCAAGTGAAAATTACAGAGTGAAGATAGCAGCGACGCGCAGCGATAGATACGAATGGTGTGTGTGTGTGTGTGTGTGTGCGTATGCATATCGATCTAACTAAAGATGTCGTGCTTTCACAGCGAACTTTGAACTGTCGACGTATATTATAACGACATTACTATATATATATATATAGTAATGTCATATATATATATTCTGCTTGCGAAAATATAGCTGAGGTTGGAATCAAAAAACCTGGAAGAAAAAGGCATTGAATGTCTACCTGCTCACCTGAATGAGAGGAGAGGGAAAATGGAGACAGGCCGAGCGAGAGAAAGACAGAGAGAGAGAGAGAGAGAGAGAGATAAACAAGGAGAGATAGAGGAAGGAAGAACTGAAAAGAGGAGGAAGAAGCGCGGTATCAGCGAGATCAGTGCGTGGAAAATGTAAAACGGCGCGAACGGCATACAGGATGATCCCCTGGCATCGGCAGAAGCGATCAGCCGCGGTCGTCAGTCGGGAGCCAGATGCGGCGAGAGTGACGGAAATCGCGGCCGGGCCAGATTAGAACGGCAAAGGGAAAGGCAGATCAAAGTGACGCGCCAGGTGCGCAGAGCGACCCTCCACTCGCAACGCTCTCGTTGCGGAGTCCCCGTTGGCTGGCTGCTCGTCCGCTACTACCTGGCAGAACCTGGGGCAGCTCGGAAAAAGTGAGGCCTGTGTGCGTATGCAAGAAGTACATCGCACCGGCGGGTGAACCCCGACGCCGCCACATTTGTCTCGTGCATGGCGGACCACCGAATGCGCGCGCGCGCGCGCGCGCACGACACATTCTCCGTCTCGACGCAGTCTATCGCCGTCTTCCAGGCGCGGATGATACATGCGCCGCTCCCGATGGCGCCATGCTTTTCCTCCTCCCTCCGCCGATATCCGCTGGAATTCCGGCGGATATACGCGTCCCTCTGGCAAGAGCGTCACGTAAATCGCCGGCCGATGAGAGAGAGAGAGAGAGCGAGTTCGTTCGGTCAGGAAAATGGCGCGCGGTCGCGCTCAGGTACGTGTGTTTGGTGCACGACGACACGTGCAACGTGCCGTCGACGATGTCGATGTCCCCGATACGCCGGCTCCCTTCGCGTAATCGCGATCGCGGCCTTGCCGCTTGGACGGACGGACGGACGGACGAGCGAGCGAGTGGTTCCGTTCGACGTCCGTTCTCGTTGTTGCTTTTCTCTTCGCGGAGCGTTCATTCGGCGAGAGAGAGAGAGAGAGACGCGCGCCACTGGAGTCGCGGAGCGGAAGGGTGGCGCTCATCGCGGCTCGACTCGAGGTCGGAGCGTCGGATTCGCGATATCCGACTGATATCCCGTTTTTGATACCATCTGTAGTTTGAATCTAATCGACGATTGACTCAACGGAATTGACCAATCGCATCGATCATCAGTTCAGCTAACGATGCGACTGGCCAATTCCGTTGAGTTGATCGTCGATTTGATTTAAACCATAAGCCCGTTTGTTGTGAATTGAACTAGGGCTGATTGTTCCGACTTCTTGGTAAGGGCCAGTTTTGCAACCTCTGGTTGACGTAATCCTCTGATTATTTCCTTTGGAATTGACCAGTTGCATTTGTCGTTAAGCAGAACTGATCAGAAATAGCCAAACACGGTCGGTATTTAACCGATTAGGTTAACCGACGAGGTTGTGAAACTGGCCCTAAGATTTACCCCGACAGGTGCCTAATGGACAGACTGATCAACAACAGCTATTGGTGTTTACCTAACAGATACCTGTCGGGTAAATCTTACCAAGAAGTTGGAACAATCGGCCCTTGTGCGGCGCTTGGAATTTCGTTTATTTCCTCTCTTCAACGCTAATTTACATACTTGTCGCTCACTCGAAAGGCAAGAAGCGTAATCTAGTTCGACTAAAACTAACAAATCTCGTAACGGTAGAGAAAAGAGCTAAAAATAAAGCTAAGGATCGGCTCATCACATCTACATTAACTTATGCCCGTTTCTACGATCATGGTTTAAATCCTATCGACGATTAACTTAACGAAATTGATCAATCGAATTGATCGATTAGTTGAACTGATCGATGCAATTGGTCAACTCCGTTGAATTAGTCGTCGGTTAGATTTAAACCATAATGCTAGAAAACCGGCATTAATCGAGCGATTAAGCGTCAACGACAAATGGTCAATTCCAATGGAATATAATCGATCAAGTTAACCAAAATTGATGAGACCAACCCTGAATCCGTTTCGGGTGCTTTCGCGCCTGGAAGCATCGCTTTACCTTCCTTCAGTACGCAGAAACCGACGAAGATGGAACGACGCTTTCAGCACGAAAGAGTCTGGAAGGAACTTAGCCTGAAAATAGCCCGCGAAGGAGGTCTCCGCCGAAGTTGGCGGAGATAACGAATCGATACTTTCCATCGCGGATCACGCTCGCGTGGAATCGACGCGGGTTAACGACGGGTGCCTGTTAAAAACATCGGCGTAATTGTGGGAGAAAGTGCGGAAAATGCCGACGAAAGCGGCCGACGTATCGCGGCGCAAATCGCGCAAATTGATTCTGTCCGGTTTTCCTTATCGATTTTTGCGTTCGCCGGATCGGCGATTGTAACGCCGCGCGCACTTGCCGCTCGCCTCACGCGCGGGAAGGAGCGAGAGGGCGGGAGAGAAGGAGAGGGAGCGAGAAAGAGGCGGATAAGATGCGAATATAGCTGCTGGGCAGATTCGGATATAGGATACGTAGGAAATACTCTCCGAGGGAGTGGAGCGCTTAGTTGTAGGCAAGATCGACGGTGTCGCGTCGACCCGGCGTCCGGATTGGCCGGCCACCTGTTGCCTGCCGGCCGCGATTGGTCAGAATCGCCGGCGCGCATCGACCGCCAGGGGCAGGAAGGAAGGCAAGTGCATCGGCGTTCCCGCGCCGGCGCAGGTCCACGATGACGAACCAGGTCCCCGATGACGGCCGTCGCGTCGGCCGGAGAGAGGCGCATTTTCGCGCCAAATATATTGGCAATCGGATGAGCGATTCTCCTGGGATGATCGCTTTTCGATCGTAAGGTCGCCGATCGATAATCACACGCATGACTCCGCTCTTCGAGCGGAGCCACGTGGCTTTCGAAGATGACGAGCTCTATGTGTGTCCGCATTCGTTCACGATGGCGATTCAGCGCGACGTTCTCGTGGTAGCTGCTTTGCGATTGTTTACGCGGAAAAAGGGGATTGGCTGATCATATATTACAATTGAAATTTATTCAGCGAACGGAACATCCAAAATCGACGCATGAGATAATTTTAAGATATCTTTAAGAGTTTTTTCTTTTTTTTAAGAAAACACCCTGAAGAACTCTCAAAGATACTCGAGTAGTTACCAGAGTTTTTAATTATGGGAGCTAAAAACTATCCTAGTAGCAGAATTCATTGGTGATACATTGGTTTAATATTAGTTATATTATTTCATTGGGGGGCACATCGAATGAATGTTGTCCGGCACAAAGTCAACCAGATAGTCAAACCTGTAAAAGCAGATTTTACGTAATATATGCTATACATTTTTTCGACAGTTTACTAGTAGAAATATAACAGGATTTGTCGCAGCAGAGCATGATAATAATCAATCTAATCAATCTAATCAATGTACTACCAGAGTAAGTACAGGGATAAGAAGAATTAGCTAGATTAAGTAAATTTCAGTTGTATCATGCGGACAGCTAACTTTACCTATGGGAACTAATATTCACCCGTGGGAGCTGCTTCTTTTTTTCCGCGTAGATATCGTTTAGATAGAGTTATAATCGTTTAAGTCGCGTCGACGATTCCGCGATGAGACGGAGAGATCCACGATCGTATTAACTCGTAAATAACCATTCGTTCAACGTTAAGATGGCGCACGTCGAGCTTCAAAGTCCTTGGAAAACAAAAAGTGCCCAATTTGCATGAGAAAAAACTCGCTCACGTAACACTCGTTTCGAATCTTTTTCAGAAATCTAACTTGACGAAACTCTTTCGACGTCGAACTACTTGAGAAAAAGAAAGAGACAGAGAGAGAGAGAGAGAGAGAGAGAGAGAAAGAGAGAGAGAGAGAGAATGTCCCGGCGACCATACGAAATATATTATTGAGACTCAAGTTGTCTTCAGGTGCTTTGGTGTATTCCAGAGAAACGTGAACGGAGGCGTATAATGGTAGTTAAGCGCGTTAAAACCTCCGAGAGAGAGGGAGGGAGAGAGAGAGAGAGAGAGAGAGCAAAGTCTGCCTGGATTCCTGTATATCGCCGAGGAGAGCCGGTTTACGATATCGGACTCTGTACCGTCAATACCGCGCTCGCTCGTCCTCCCTCCTCCCCTGGGTATATGTATATATCACATTATTACGATTTAGCTCTTTACCGCTTTTCAAATTCCCTGTATTCCCCTCGTGTTTCCAACGGATTCTACCGTCGGTCGTCATTTTAACGCTGTCTTGCTTTCTTCCCTCCGCACGTAACATGTTTAACACGTAATGTGTTCCGATTCGCACCGGCAAAACGAAAATCCCCGTCGGGGAGACGTCGTCGTCGCGGAATGCGGGAAAGCTAATGAACAATAGATAGAATTAAGCCCGAATCCCCTCTTCCCAGGATTCTCTCGGTTTCCGGATGAGAAGCCTAGAGGAACCGTTGGAAACAACGGCATACTGTGCATACTGATCGGATATATTCAACGGGGCCGAATTCATTCTTCTTTGATCTAAAAGATCGCGAGATTCTTACTTAATGCTGATTAACTTTAGTCAATAGTCCCTCTCTCTCTCTCTCTCTCCCTCTTTGTGTCTTTCCAGGAGAGCGGAGCCTAATGGAGGACCGCTGGGAAGGCGCTGGAATTTTAATCGGCGAAGCTGATGCGAATGTAGTTCGCAATTAGACTCTCGAGGACACGGAGGAGATTATCAAAGGGATTCCACGCGCCGAGGTCGATCCACTTTGGACTCTCTTAGTCGCGCGGTAAGAGGATGGAGAGCGGATTCACCGTTGCGGGGAACTTTCTCTCGAGCTCGCGGCTACATACACACACACGCTCACATGCGCGTATGCGTGTGTGTGCTGCGCCTGTGTGCAACTTTCGAAACGCCGTGACAGGTCTTTCGCGGACCCCCTTCGTTATCTCCGATTATTATTATATTAGTTAGATTGACATTCGCGACATTAATCTGTCGGGGAGTCCCGATGGTAATTTACGAAAATTTGTCAAGAGCCTCGCAAAAAATTCGACGGAAGCGCGACTGTGATCCGCGAGCGCGGGTCGGGGAATACGAGCGGAGTTTTAAATATCACCGGCATAAATTTCGTGTGCGCGCGTGCGCGAGAGAGAGAGAGAGAGAGAGTCATCTCGGAGTTTTTGCTCGGCCGCCGCGTCCTTGGCCCTTGCGGGAACGCTCTTCAACGGCTCTTCAAGCCCCTCGTGGAGCCTCTCACGAGCCACGAGGAAGTCGAGGAAGCTCCGAGGGCGCTCCTCGTTGCGCGCAAAGCGCGGTTTCATGGATATCGCGCGCGCGCTTGCGGACGAGTAGCAACGCGCACGGCGCCGCAAGGAAGCGCGGCTCCCGACGAAGACGGAAGAGAGAGAGAGAGAGAGAGGTGAGAGCGAGCGAAGAAGGAGAGAGAGGGGGGGGGG